ACCTGGGTTGCCGCGCTGGTCCGAGGATATTGGGATGACCAGGCACAGCCCCATGCCCCAGGTTTGCAGTCTTCGGGGGAGAGGTTTGGGGAGCGGCAGTATTTGCTCGGCGCCGCAGTGTGCCAATGTCTGAGCCCTGGCGTAGGGGTCTTGACGCACCCAGCTCCTATTTCCCACCTCGCGGGGTATCGGCTGTGTACTGGGAGAGCAAGAACAGGACCTGCAAAGGCGAGGATACCAGCTCCCTGCGGAGTGCTAAGGGCTGTTTCCCTCTAGCGCATCAGGCTTGCAATTATGGGCCTCAAAGGCTAGAAGGGGTCAGGCGGGACCCCAGAGGAGAGGATGCAGGTCTGGAGAGGCCGGGACCTTGCAAGCGCCGCTGCCAAAGTTGGCCGCCCGGTCAGCAAAACTTTGTCTCTCAGCGCGCAGGCGCAGGGTTGGGGGAGGTAGAGAGAGCCGGAGGGAGGGAGGGAGGGAGGGGAGAAATCCTAAGGCAAGGGGCGGGTGGGGGGAGGAGGGAGGGTGGTGGATTAAAATAAGTAGGCGGCTCGGTGCGAAGGGATGAGTGAGTCGAAGCTCGGCCTCTCTCCAGCGCGTTCTCAGCCGCTCCGGGTTCAGACGCAGCGAGCGGCAGGCGAGGCTCACCATCCCTCGGCGGACAGGACTCCAGGGCCGCTGTGCGCTCCCGCGCGTCGGGAGCTCGGGGTCCTCGGAGTCCCCGCGGCCGAGAAGTGTCAGGACTCGAGCGCGCCAGGGGTGCCCGTGGTTATCCACCCCCGCCAACTTCCCGGGCTCCTCTAGCCAGAGCCCCAGAGAAGCTCTCGGTCCCGGGACCTCGGCGGAACAAGGTAAGTGCAGGCCGGATGCCCGCCGGGGCTCCTCCAGGGAAGGCGGGCAAGACTCGTGGGTTCTTTGGCTCATTGCGGTAGGTGCCTGCTCTCTTCCCCTTGCCCCCGAAGAAAGTTTCCCGGACCCAAACCAAACCCTTTGTGAAACTGAGAGTCGCCCAGGCTGGTTGGGGAGGACTGGCTCAGGCACTGGCCGCGCAGGGGTCGTGGCCTGTGACCCCGGCGGAGCGAGGGGTAGGCCTCCGCGACTGCCTCCGCCCCCGCCAGGCTGGCCGGGCTACGCGGCATCCTGCGCGTGGTGGCCCTGGGCTTCGGAAGTCAGTCTGCGGCTTCCCTGTAAGAGACCAAAGCGACTTTGACCGGCGCTACCTTTGCCGAGACGGACTCAGGGCTCAGACAGAGCTGCCGGCGTAGACCAAGAAGGGAGGACGCGTGAGCGGACGGCCGCAGCCCACGGCACACGGACAGGTGCATGCCCCAACCGGGTGGCGCTTTCCTGTTTCTTTAGCTGAGTTGCGCTCAGGTGTTAGGCAGGGCGGGCCTCGGGGCTGCGCGTGTCAGCCCCGCCTAGGACTCACGCTAGGGTCTGGGGATTCTCCCTGTAGCATGCCCTCTCTGTGTGGTCTGCAAGGCCCAGAGTGTAGCCCTCTACTTCCCGGTGTAAGGGATGCTGGCAAGGAGCTCGGCGTTGCTTCCCAACGCGGGACCTCCAGCAGGCGGGAGCGGAAACAATTTGCCGCGGTGGGTGTCTCGGGTTAGAGCTTGGAAGGCGAAGATTCTTTTGCTTCCTTGATTGTCCCTTAATCCCGAGTTCGGGGAGGATAGATGGCAGCCCGTGTGGGGAGGGAAAGAAGCTAGGGACTGCACAATGACATTTTCCCCCCCGTACTTAACGCCTCGTACAAGGAGAACCGAGAGCCCCAGACAGTGCCCATCAGCGGCTGGGCACAGCAGCCGGTGCGCTGTTCAAGTGCAAGGTGGCTGTGCAAGGGTCCCTTTGTGGACGGAATTTGATCATTTTTATCCTGGCCGAGAGCTGCGTGTTGGGTTTCGGGAAGGGGAACCACGTGCAAGGCTGGTCTCTGGGGTGCCAAGCCTCGCAAGAAAGAGAAGGGATAGGCGGGGACCAGGAGCGCCAGCGGGTCAAGACTCCCTCCCATACTTCTCTAACTAATCGCGTTTCCATTAAATCTGGGGAGCAGATCAGTCAGAACACAGCCCGAGTTTCAGGGTGGCTTACAGGTCCCCTGGCCGCTGGGCTCTTTGGATTTCCTTCCTCGGGAGAATGCAACTGGAGTGACCGGTGCTGGCCTTCCTGCTGGGCGGTGGGTCCTGCCAGCCGCCTGTCACCACCCGAGCTGGGGGGTGGATATCAAGGGTGCTTTTCTTGTCTGCCCTTGGGCTCCTGCAGGCGCTAGCTAGGCTAGTGGAGCTCGCTCCGTCCTCATTAATGCAAGCAGTTAACTCGCTCACGCTCAATTAGCCCCGAATAAACCACTTTAATAGACTGTGCACACTTCATTAATGCCCGACATGGGGCTGGCGGCAGACCCGAGCTTGGCGACCCACCGCGCGGGTGACGGGGAGTGTGTGCGGCCGCTCAGGGACCGGAGGCCTCTGAAGCGGGAGCCGCGGTGCGCTGTCCCGACCTTTACTTGTACCTCCCAGGTCCCGAGGACCAACCCCCTGGCGGGGATTGAATCCCAGTCGCCAGGAGGGGAGTTGGAGGATTCTCGGCACAAAGATCGAAAGTGCTCGCTGTAGGGGTGCAGGGGTGCGGGCGGCTTGCTCTGCCTCTCTGGAGGCAAGGCGGCTGTGCCTGCCTGGACCTGGATGGTCCTATATTGGGTTTTACAGTAAAGAGCCACATCTCCAACACGCTTCGTCCCCTGGCCTGGAAATGCATGCAATCAGAAACTGCGCTGCTGTGGAAACTCAACAGAGTATCCAGACGAATACGAAAAGGCACAAGGCCCAGGGAGCTTGTCACTGCCTGGGCTGACGGACTGCAAGCACCCCATCCCTAACCCGGTTAGGGAGCCTGGGGTGGAGGGTTAGGAGGCAAGGCTGGGTGAGGCGGGATGGGTCTTCTCTGCAGAGCCCGGTGCTCGGCTCAGTGTGCCGTCCCCACTGTGTGGCTTGCTTGCCTTGGGAATAGGCCAAGCCTGGAGCACAGCGAGCAATATGGAAAGGCCTCCTCAGGTGCAGATGTGATGCCCAGGCAGCACCAAGAGTGGAAGAAGAGGTGACAATAAATCCAAGGGCACTCAGCTCGGCTCAGTCTTTCTGCACTTTGCTCTACCGGAAGGGATCTCACCTTCCTACTGACATTTTACTTCCTCTCCTCTCAGCCCTAAAGATGTCTGGCTTTCTCCCTGAAGCCCAGGTCTGGGAGGAGAGAGTGGAGAGAATGGGAGGGGAGGTCCCTCTGTCTGCCCTGGCTGGCAACCAGGATGCTGCAGTTCCAGAGGTGGGATCAGGGCCGCTGTGGGCCTCGGGATGAACTCCACGGCTGCACACTTAGGTTTCCTCGGATTCTAATTCAACGTGCCAACTCATGCCCAGCCATGCCTCTCTGTCCCACTGCCCTACCACCTTTCAGGGAAAGAGAGCTTTATGGGGACAGGATTGCCGTCCCTCCTCCTTCTCTTTCTCCTTCCAGTCAGGCGCTGTGCATTTTGGGACGGGGCTGGCTTGGGAGCCTCGCTGCAGCGAAATGCAGCTGAGTCCGGCAGTGCCTGGGCCTGACTAGGGGCGCCTCCAGCCAGCTAAGCCTGGGGAAATTGGAATCTGTGCTCCAAAATGGGGGTGGGGGGGGCAGAGCAGTCGCCTAGGGAAGGAGTATTACTGGAGGGCAGGGAAGATTTGGGGAAGACCAGGAGAGGACTGAAGAAGGGTAAGAAAGAAGTTGGTAGTACTGGGCAGAGACTGAGCAAACGGGGACACCCCATGAATTCTGTTCTGATAATGATTTCTTGAGGATCCTTAAATTCAGAGCTCAGCGTCTCCCCCACCTCCGCAAAGCTCCCTGCTACATTGAACTTTGCTTTCTCTCTCTCCCTCTCTTTAAATTCACTGGAAGGACTGGGGTTAGGAGTGTCTGGGAGGAGTAGAATTAATGGATTTTTTAAAAATACAGAACCCATGGGGAATGGCAGCAGCTTGGTGCTTTGGGGTCGCTTTCCTGTGGGTTTGCTTCAGATCTCTGACGGGCAGGTGGGGTGAGGGCACACAGGCAGGCTGGCAGCAGCAGCAGTGCAGGACCTGGTGCTCTTGCTTATAGATGCATGCACACGCCTAAGCTTGGCTGCACACAAAACCCTCCCTTTCCTTTGGAGAGGAATGGCACGAGTCCCCCTTGTATGCCGCTTTAGATGTGAGCAAATAATCGTGGTGTTAGTACCCTTCAGAAGCAGAGGTGCCAACAGGGTCAAATCAGAGGTCAAAGCTGAGGGTTTTGAGACACACAGCACTGCCTGTTCAGTTAGTCGGAAGTCAAAGGGAAAACACAGGCAGAAGATCTAATACAGCAGAGCATGGGGGCTGCTTCTTAAGACTCTTCATGGTTGCAAGGTGATCCACTATGTGTGTGTGCACACGCAGGTGTGACGGTTCCTGCGTCTTGTAGTCTGTTGTACCATGCCAATAGTACGCGTCCCAGTTTGCCTTTGTCATTGCCTTCCTGGCGTTCTGTTTTCAAAGGGCGTGCAGGTGTGCCGAGTGTGAGTGTGCACTTCTGTTTTCCTACACGATTCTAAGCGTGCTTTCAAGTTCATTATCTCTGCAGGACAGCGTAATTCAGTGTCAGTCCGGGCATGAGCGGATGTCGGTTTCCTTGTGCTTGCACCTTTTCCAATGTCATGGATCTAAAAGGTTCTTGAGTGGGTTGCGATGCACTACAACATGGAGTTCTTTGTCAGGTTTTGTGTCTCTTCCAGAGGTCATTTAGAGCTAGCTCACAAAGTGACTGTTTGAATTGCTTCGTTTTTCATCGTGAGGGTAGTGAGTTCTGTGGCTGGGACCTTAGACCCCCCAGCTCCTGCCCTGAGGGTGTGGAAAGGGGGGGTGTACGGGCTGCAATTTCAGAGAAAGGAAACCTATGCTGAACTTTTTTCTTGTCCCCCATCCTTTCTTCCTTTACTTGCAGACTGTGATTGAGAACGCACCGCAGCTAGCATCATGGGCAGTAAAACCTTGCCAGCCCCAGTGCCCATCCACCCATCTCTTCAGCTCACCAACTACTCCTTCCTCCAGGCAGTAAACGGCCTGCCCACAGTGCCCTCGGACCACCTGCCCAACCTATATGGCTTCAGCGCCTTGCACGCTGTGCACCTGCACCAGTGGACACTGGGTTATCCAGCCATGCACTTGCCACGCTCTTCTTTCTCCAAAGTGCCAGGTGCAGTGTCCAGCCTGGTGGATGCACGCTTCCAGCTACCCGCCTTCCCCTGGTTCCCCCATGTCATTCACCCCAAGCCCGAGATCACCACGGGAGGCAGTGGCCCAGCACTCAAGACCAAGCCCCGCTTTGATTTCGCCAACCTGGCCTTGGCTGCCACACAAGAAGATCCATCCAAGCTTGGCCGGGGTGAGGGTCCTGGCTCCCCCACAGGAGGGTTAGGTGCCCTCCTGGATGTGACCAAGCTCTCCCCAGAAAAGAAGCCCACCAGGGGACGCCTGCCTTCCAAGACCAAGAAGGAGTTTGTCTGCAAGTTCTGTGGCCGCCACTTCACCAAATCCTACAACCTGCTAATCCACGAGCGGACACACACCGACGAGCGGCCCTACACCTGTGACATCTGTCACAAAGCCTTCCGGAGGCAAGACCACCTACGGGACCACAGGTGCGGCACCGCGGGTGGTCTAAGAGGGCGCTGTCTTCCCTTGGACTCCCTAAAGAATCTCCCTGAGAGGTTTAGCAGAACTGCTAGGGGCTTTGAGCCCTCCAAGCTTCTTAGACTGCCCTATACTCAGCAAGGCAAGCAGAGAGGGCTCTGGGGTATGCGCTGGAACCTGGGTGGAGAACACAGGGATGCATGAATTGGACGTAAGGGTGGTCCGGGCTCTGTGAGCTCCAGGAAGGCACACCCAGCTTCCCAGCCCCTTTTTCTACCCTCAGAATTCAGTAACATGAGTCTCTGTTAGGACACGCCAGCCCCGGAGAGGTGCAGTTAGGGTGCCTGAAAAACCGAAGCTTGGGTTTTCTGCCATGTTAAGTTGCATCGCCACACCGGGAGGACGGTTTGCGAGTTGCGTAGGACAAACTGTTAGACCCCAGCTCACCTGAATTACCTGGCGGGTAGACCCCGGAGTCTGTGCTTGCCCCTCCTCCTCGGGAAGGCAGGTGTTCTGCCTGGCAGGACCGGCTTAGGGAGCCTGACCTGACCAGAGTGGCTCCTTCTCAGCTCCTCCCCGGTACCAGCACCAGCTCTGCGGTGTGCCCACCCACTCCCCTTTCCTCCTGGGACCGGCAGCTTTGTGGGACGCTGGCGCGTGTCGCGAGGACTAACTGTGTCTTTCTGGCCTTCAGGTACATCCACTCCAAAGAGAAGCCTTTTAAGTGCCAAGAATGCGGAAAAGGATTTTGCCAGTCCAGGACTCTCGCTGTCCACAAGACGCTACACTCACAGGTGAAGGAGCTCAAAACCGCCAAGGTGAAATGTTGAGCAGACCCTGACGCTCGCCGCCGCTGCCCTCTGGAGGGACCGTCTCCGGCGGGGAGGGGCGCTCGGGACCTCCCCCCACCCCAGGAGCACGCGGCACTCCAAAGCCCCACCCGGGGCCGCGACACCGACCGCCCCCGGCGGCTCCCCCTGGACGCGGCTAGACTCTTGGCCAAAAGGCGGCAATCATGTGGCGGAAGAGAAACTGCATTAAAAAAAAAAAATGAACGAAAACTCCGCGGAGCCAAAGTGGCGCCTCTCCCAGAAGTATTACTTTTTCCCCCTATTATTTTGTACGTTTTCTTTATTAATTTCTTTTCTTTGACCATATAAGCTTGTAACTCTGACTGCGGAGAGGGGAGAGAGGCTGGCAAGTTTGCGCACTTTGCAGCTTCCAGGCCCTCCCCCGCCCCGGCCCCCTCCCCAACCCGGGAGCCTGCAAAAGTGTAATCCTTGTATTTGCTTCAGCGCCGGCCCAGGGGCCCAGCCCGCCGCGCAGCCAGCTGCAGTCGGGCCCCTCGGCCCGGGGACTGGAGGTGGCCGGCCTCGGCCTGCCCACTCCGCCGCAAGATCACCGCCAGCGGGCAGCTCGCCGGCAGCCGGGCGTTGTACTGCGATTGGCACTTTACGCTGACCATCGGTAACGGACATTTATCACTGGAGTTGTTTTTTTTTTTTTTTTTAAGAAAAAAAAAACCTATTAAATAAACGGTTATTTTACAGTCATTGCCGGGTGGGTAATTTCCCTGCTCCCACTCCCGTGGGACTGCGGCTGGGGGAGAAGTCCCTCTCTCCCGGTGGTGGTCTTCCTCGGTGTCACCCCTTGTGTCTCGTATTTCTTTGGAATCTCCTGCTTGCCCCTCGGTTCCTCACCTCCTGGGGAGCCGTGAGTTGAAAGTGACCCCAGGTCCACGAGATCCGTGCTTATCCTGGTGCTTGGGTCGCTCAAGACTCAGGGGCACGGAGCCCAGCGTCCCTCCCTCTCCTCAAGGCCTCCCCGCTGGTCTTTGGCTTCTGCTTTGGGGGTAGGGTGGCGCGCCCCACGGGCCCCCAGACCCGGCTGCAGGACAGAGGCGCCGCTGCAGCCCCAGCCGCCAGAACCTCCTTCCTCTGGCCTCTGGGATTGTGTAAAAGCTGGGGCTGGTGTCCTCGCCTGCTGCAGGCTTCACAAGAGCTTGCCTGCAGTTTTAAAGCCTGCCCGGGAATGGCGGGGGCGTGCGCCCTAGGCGGCCCCGGGCGCTCCGCAGGAGAAACCCGAATCCTCCTGGCTCCAGCTGAACCTTCCTCGGAGCGTCCAGTTTTCCCACACTGAGGGGCCGGGCCGCCAAGGGCTCCCCTGCCTGGGGTCGGGCAGGGCTGTCATCGCTCCGGGGCTCGGACCCAGGAAGCGCGCAGGCGGTGGCGCCCGCGGCCTTTCCCCAAGTGGAGCTTCGGCTAGTCGGCCGCCGCGGCCACCAGGGCTGCCGAGAACAGGGTCCCGCGGGCCGAGAACGCGGCCGGGATGCGGGGGGTTAAGACCCTTAGTTCTTTCCCGGCCGCCTGCTCTCCTCTGGAGTCGCTCCCAGGCCCGGTGCGGGACAGAACTCCGCGGCCGGCGAGCTGGCCTTGGCGCGGTGGCCTCCAGCCGGGCGGGCGCGCTGGAGCTGCCCTCGGCGGTCGGGGCCGCGTGCCGCCCCCTGCTGGACACACCTGGAGGGGCGGCCTAGGACCCGGGACCTCTTGCAGTGTTCTTCCCACGACCCCCATCCCGAACTCAGCGGGGCGTCTCCATCGCGTGTCCCGCGCTCACAGGTGTGGCGCCGCCCTCTGATCCCCCTTTCGGGGGCGCTCAGGCTCGCTGCGAGCGAGGCACAGGACTAGTCTCCTGGGATCTTCTGCAGAGCAAGGTCTCAATTTCTCTTCTACCGGGGACCCTAGGGAACACCACCCAGGACAAAATGAAGCCGCACTGCTTGGGACTGGGACATCGTCTGGGTGCCTGGAAGAAGGGTACATCTGCAGGTTTGGGGCGTCCACGGTCCCGGCCCATCCAGCATCAGGGTATGGGCTTGTGCTGGGGCCGTCTGTGGGGGCTGCATGGGTGCCTCTAGAAGACCTCCGAGGTTGAGGTGGTGGTGATCCAAGACGCCAGTCGCTCGTGGATACACGAACACACACACAGGCGCGTGCACACTCGAACACACAGCCGCCAAGGTTCGCCTCGGAGCTTGCGAGGACCTGTGTCCAGCGCACCCTCCCGTGCCCCTTGGCCCTTTGGCGGGGCATTCCTCGGGAATGGCCTGTCCACCCCTACGGCTGACTCGCTCCGCGCTCGCTTTCACCCGCGAGGACACACGGAGTCGATGCAGTGCGCCCTGGCTGGGGCTTTGGGGCAGCGGTGCAGTAGGACGGTAAAATCTTTCCCAAGCCCCACCCCCTTGCCCCACCGTGCATCCCCCTCCCCACTCCAGGAACCGCTGCAGGGAGAGGATTTCCGTGTCGAGCCCCCAGCCTCGGAAAAACGGTCTCTTGTTAATTGGAGGGAGGAATGGGTTGGGGGCAGGGTGCTGCCACATTGCCCCCCACACTTCCCAGTCCCCTGTCAATGGTTTGGCTCCCCTCTGCCACAGCTCCCATCCTCCAGGTGGATGCGGAGCCGGGAACAGAGATTCATTTGTGGGGCAGAGCCAACAGCTGCAGGTGGAAGGACCAGCAGGGGCCAGAGGCCATGGAGCTCCATTCCCTGGCCCCGTGCTTGGGGTGTTTCCCATTCACGCTAAGAGGGGGTCGCACGCAAAGTGCTTCTGAGAGGCCGAGAGACGCTGAGTGGCTCGCTTCTCTTCCCCTGCTCCAGTTCTTCCCACTACCCTTCCGTCCCCAGTCAGAAAGTCTCAGTCCCATGTACCCTCTCCTCTCCGGAGCGGTAAGTACCCGGAGTAACTGACGGCCGGTTTTCCGCTCCAGGGGCCTCCCCTAAACCACTAGACGCGTGGTTCTTGGGGGCGGGGGGAGGGACACGGCTGGACTTGAGGGAGGGTGGGAGACCAGTAAGAACCTGGGTGCAGCCTGGGGATGTCAGGTGCGCGCTCTGGAAAGAAATCGGGGCTCATGGGAAGGCGGGGCCCGTGGAGCTGCGCCCCAGGAGGAAGAGGTCGGGGTTCCCGCTTCCCCGCCCAGGGCGCGCCCAGGCCGCCCCCCGTGCAGCCCTGTCCAGGCTGCCAGCGCGCCCAGACGCAGCGGCCGGCGCCGGCGACGCCCCACGTTCCCGGTGCGCTGGCTCCGAGGCGGCCATCCCGTCCTGCAGTGCCGCGCCGTGCCGGCCTCGGGTGGGCGCCCGGCCTCGGGTGGGCGCGGTGACGTCACACGGACTCCTGGACCGGGGCTCGGCCGGCTGCGGCATCCCCTTGACCGAGTCCCATGACGTCACGGATGGGCATCCGCCCTCACCCAGGCGGGGGATAGCCTGGTGTGCACGGCCGCGGAGGGCAGGCGTGTGGCCCGGGCCCCAGCCGCCGGCCTCGGGCTCCGGCCATCTCCGGTCCCTGCCCGCGGGGTTTCGGGGTACGCTCGTCCCGCCCCCTGTGGCCGAGCCCTCCTCACGCCCCTCCCCGCTCACGGCGCAGCCTCGGCGCGCAGGCGCGCAAGGACTCGGCGGCCTGAGCGGCAGGTGCCCCGGCGCTAGGGCTCGGCGTGGTGCCGGGGCTTGGCTGCTGCGGAGGAAGCTTTGCTCTCGGGGAACATAAACTAAGGCGCACGCTGGACTGGCGCGTCCGCGGGGACGTACGTGAGCGCTAGAGGTGAGAGGAGGGTTAGTGCGGCCGGAGACCCTTGGAGACCCTGAGCCGCCTTCAGTCCCGACGCCCTGTAGTCCCCGGGATCCCTGCAGTCGGGGCCCAGTCCTGGGACCGAAGGTCTGTGGCAGCCCCTTTAGACTCCTGCTGGGCTGCCTCGCAGAGGCCGTCTGGGTCCCTAGCCTTGGGGAACTCTTCAGTGCGAGGAGTTTTGGCCTCTCACCGGACTCTGTCCTGATGTTTGGGGGCCAGTGTACCCTCATTCCAATGAAAATGCCGCTACAGTCCAGATACTAGATTCGGAAGCGGCAGAAGAAGAAGAAGCTGTATCCAGAGGAGAGGCCCGAAGACCGAGTTGTAGTTTTTTCCGGACACTCGTGAACTGTGGGCAAACCTCGAAGCCTTCGGTTTATTCCTGAAGTGTGGATAATGATCTTGTCACGGACTCATGCAGTGAGATAGAGGTCACAGCGTTGTCAATAACGTATCCGTTACTTGAACCCCAAGCTGGCCTCTAATGTATTGTGGAGCACCCTGCAAAGGTGTTGGGACTGCTTTGCCCAGGGTCTTGCTATAGGGCCCCCTTCCAGGCTGCCCGATTCCCAGGTGTTCCCCAAGCCCCTCTCCACTCTGTCATATCCTGGGATGCTGGAATGGAATCCACGTGGACTGATGGTATCTTGGAAACCTCTGGGGAAAAGGCCTTTTATCGGTTACTGGAGACCAATGGATTCATCAGTCCAAACATGACATTTGTTTGGGAAGGCGAGTCAGGGTACTACCTGAGGGTCCTGCTCCCCATTGATGTGTGTCCTGTACCTACCTAGGGGGTAAAAAAGAACCTGGGGCAGAGGAACGGGCTCTGTGTGTAGCCAGCGTGATGCACACCCTGACCCTGGCCCACAGAGCCATGACTTTGACCTGTGCTGCAGGTCCCATCACTGTACGGTTGCATGGAGACATCTAGGTTTCCTCTGGAGGAATCACCCTGTTCCTTGCTGCGTGCTGCTGCTTTCCACAGTCTCCCCTGGACAGTGCTGCTTAAGTTCCAGCTATAATACAGAAGGACTAACCCAGACCCGGAAAACAGGAATGGGTAGATGAATGGTTGAGAGTTTTTGCTTGTCTCTCTTTATAAATTGTTTATTTGAAAGGCAGTTTGGGAGGAGGTGATTATGAGAGCGAATGTGTGAGAGAGGAGTCTACCATCTGCTGGTTCAGTCTGCAGAAAATGGCCTCAATGGCCGAGGCTGGGCTGGACCAAAGCCAGGAGCCTGGACGTCATCCAGGTTTCCCTCCTGAGTGCCACATAGGGCAGGTGCCCAGGTACTTTGCTGATCTGCTTTTCGAGGCACACTAACAGGAGGTTGGATTGGAAGCAGAGCACTTGGCGCTCAAAGTGGCACTC